ACCCGAACTCGACACGAATAATAAACGGGTTGAATTCTCTGACCTGTACCCACCTCAAAAAATATTTGAGTCAACCCTAACCTGAATTTTTCGAGTCGAGTTCGATTCGTGTTGTCGTGTCGGGTCATTTTTTTATACCTTAATGATCGGCCAATAGAAGTCCCCACGAAGTTGATCAGTCATGACATGATCATCGAATTCTCCACTTCCCAAACTCCATATACTGGGTCGGTCTTTAGGTTCAAGAATCACACCAATGAGATGAGCGAATTTCCCACACCCTTTGATGAAGAATGACACAAATTGAGACCATTGTAGAAAATTGTTGTGATTTAGTTTATGGGTCATAATTAAGAAGTTCATGTCATTTTCCTGTCCTCGGGTCTGCTGAGAAACAGAGGTTAGAATTGATTCTCTGTTGGAATGAAGAACATCTACTGATGATGGCTCAATGTTAGAGGACACTGTCGTGACTCCGATTGAGCCAAATGAGATGTTAGGTTGTTGAACCATCGTAAGGTTTTGACTATTGGAAGATCTTCTTGTTGGCCGGTAATTAATGCCACAAGGCACACTTCGAATACATAAGATCAAACTTATGCTTGATGCGAGAGAACACCTCTGCAACGCTAGTGGATATCATGCAAACCGCCCTCTGCACCTTATTGGGAGGGAATGTGATAGAGGTTTCCAACTGGCGGCTGGATTGGTAGACAAGGTTTTCAGCAGCTTGATTAAGCAGGGGTTCCAGCAAGCGGCTGGATTGGGAGACGAGATCCCGTGGACGGCCAGGAGAGCCCAATGGCAGAAGAAGGCGGGACCTAGCCGGGAGACGAGACCATCTAGATGGGAGACAGGGTTTCCAGCAGCTTGATTAGGCAGAGCTTCCAACAAACGGCTGTATTGAGAGATAGAGGTTCCAGCATGCGATCAGGGGAGCCCGATGGCAACTAAGTTAGGGTCATGGTTATGCTAGGGTCCCATTACAAGATCAACTAGAAAGGAAAGAAATAAACCCAAGGTATAATAAACAAGGGAAAGAAATAAACATAGAAAAAGGAAGGAAATAAAACAAAATAAAACAAAATAATGCATAATATCATGAAATAAATAATAGCTATTACTAGCCATTAAAATATTCTAACATAATATAATGTTATTTAAAATGATTAATGATGATTATGATATTTCTTCTCACTATCATTTATTCTTGCAAGCAATATATAAAACCTAAATGTAGGCAAATTTGGCCAAACACACGCTGCAATATCTTGATAGTATTAAAATAGAGTTTATATATCTACAGAAAATTTTTTATAAAGATGTCACTAAACCGAATAATTGACATCAGCTAACGATATAACACTACATGGTAAGCATTATATAACCAAAAAGACTTTCAATAGATTATTGCTCAAACAAACAAGTGTAAAATATTACATGCAAGTCATTTACTTCAGCCAAATTTGTTAAACCAATCTCCAAAAGTTAATAAAGAAAGTGATATTGAATGGAGCAAATGTTTTAGCAGTGAAGAGATAGAAAGCTATACCACAGAATGGGCTAGAGAAGATCAAATTCAGGAGGAATGATTGGAGCAAACAATGGAATTGTTGTGTAGTTAATAAAAGAGCAAAATGAAAAATAACTCCATTAGGTTCCCTAATCCATCATACGGGATCACAAATGTAAATTAACTTTGTCTGCATGAGAAGAATAAAAAAAACCACAACATGACACAAAATCGCACTAAACTTTGATGACCATAGCTTTGACCTTATATGGGAGCATACCTATAAATAACACAAAACAGGAGATATTAGGTTCCCTAATCCATAATATGGGATCACAAATGTAAATTAACTTTGTATGATGAGAAGAATAAAAAAAAACCACAACATGACAAAATCACACTAAACTTTGATGACCATAGCTTTGACCTTATATGGGAGCATACCTATAAATAACACAAAATAGTAGACATTATAGCACATAGGATGGTAGGTGTACCTTTTTGCAATCACCAAAACAAATGCAAAAGCGTAAAGTAATGCTCTATGTATCCTATTTATGTGCATTGGGATATAATGGAAGGAATATGTAGTTTGCGCGTTTTTTTTTTTTTTGTTGAGTTTTTGCTTGTTTTTTATTTTTTTGCGCATAAGATCTCTTCACATAAGGGATTGAATATGAGTTATTTGGGTAAAATTAAGTAATATGACTTTCATCTTAAAATACGACCACCATGCTATTATTGAGCTAATTTTTATGTATGATATACATGATGCTATTTACGGGTTAGAAGGAAAAATGGATGTTGAATTAGAGAATATAACTAAGTAGTATTTAATGAATGAAATTTGACATGAAAAGATGTAAAGTTGGTGACATCTACGAAAGAAACTACAAAATTTGAGATTGAAACAAGGGAAAAGGGGAATCTTCATACAAGCCTATCAAACTTACAGATGAACGTGAAACTGATAAAGATGATTCAAAAGATTATAATTTGGGAAATGATAATGATGGAAGCAATGCGATTTTAGTTTATAATGATAATGGTAATGATAATTCTCTAACTAACTAGTTTACTTTTTTATGATTATGAAACTTTTAAATTAATCATTTCTTATATTAAGAGCTTAATTTCCAAGGTTTAGTATTTAATCAAATAATATACACAGTTATATCATGATGGCTCTATTCGCAAAACTAATATTTTTATTTATCATGACACTTAAAATTTCAGTTCGATTGTCACTCATTAAGCTTTATGTATGTTAAAGCAATCTTTACTTGAAGAGCAGTGATTGTTTTTTTTTCAATTAATAAATTATTGAATTATTAGTATGTTAATAATGATTTTTTTATTCACAATAATTTTAAAATAAAATGTGCCACATTACGCTTTATAACTCCATGATACACTTGTGCATAGTGTCATATTCACTATTGACAAATATGTTGGGGCTTGAAGGATCATGCACATGAAATTTTCTAGGTGTTCTAAATACCAATGATATCTAACATGAGGTTGAAATTGTGCCTTAAGAACTCATGATAGCAATCCTAGGCATTATTTATTATCACTAATGCTTAGGTTGTTTTCACGAGGTTAGAAGCACTCATGATAGCAATGCTAAGCAAAGAGAGGATTTCACAAGCCAGTAAGATGTCTTCTTTGGTTGACCAATTATTCTTTCGCCAAACATATAAGTCGTGATCTACTAGCAAATAGATGCATCCAACAAAGCATGCTTAGCTTGCAACACAAACATATCACTCAATATTGGGTTCCACAAAAGCACGCATATATAGGTTGCACAACCAAAACAAGCATGCCTAAGTTGGATGTAACAAGTAGAGTGTTTCTTTAAGTTCTCCAACAAGGTTTTTTAATTGATCGAAGAATTTATGCTCTTGAACAATGACATTCTTACGTAGGTTTTATTTGAACTTCCCACGTTAACTCATAAGGAGGCTTATTAAAAAGCGCTCCCGGGAAAGAAAGGAAAAAAACCCAATGGGATTTCACCTTGCCAAATCTTTCCATGTTCCTAGTAAAATCATAAGTTCCAATGGGACCCCACGCATACAACATAGAATATAAGAAGAATTGTTTGCGTCTAGCAAACGATCAGATGATTTTGCCAAGATGCTATATAATTCAATTTTCTTACTTTACTTCTCGTCACCTAGTATATAAACTTGTGCAACAATGTAGCTATTACCTATACTACACCAGCAAGGAGGTCCCACTGGTAGAAGAACAATCGATCCACAAGGATATGATTAGAGAATTATTTTGGTTACAGTAGAAGTTTTTAATTTGGCTTTTTTTTCTATGCTGGGAAAAGAAATCTACAGAGACTTCCACAAGGAAAGCTTAGAAAACATCAAGAAAGCACTATATGAAGATCTTTCAAATTTTCCTGTCCACGATCATCTAAAAGAAGTCAAAAGAGGTTTATATTAAAGCAACATAACTTTATGTCTACCAACTCAAAGTCAATCTCCACATGCGCGTGCACACACGCTCGCACAAAAAGAAAAAAAAAAAACCAAGGGCCAATTTGGTTCAATGTTATCAAGATCACAATGCTATTTAGATAACAATGTTATTTATATAATAATATTATCAATTACTTTAGCTTAATATTATCTTACAACAATAGAATACTATCTAGTATTATCAATGGTGATTATGGCCATCATTTTTCCTGTCATTTATTTTAACCATCAAATGGCCTGAGATCAATAAGTTGGAAAACTAGGTAGACATCTTTACGCAACAAGTTTGGCTGATTACTTGATGTCATCAAAATAGGGTTAAAATGCCCATCATGCTATAGTTACTTAAGGATGCCATCAAACCAAACAGATGAAATCAGTTAATAACATCGCAAAACACAGAAAATATCATAGAACCAAACAAGCTTAAATAGATCTATTAGACCCAAAAACTAGTGATGAATATTAAAGTTTCAGGGTTCTCTAACAAGCATTCAAGTTCTACAAATTTAAAACACAAATGCTTCTAAACATACCTGACATTAGATAAAAGGCTATTTTCTGATAAACAGAAAGCCACCAAACTTCAAACAATAAAACAAGGAAAACGTGGAGCAATCGACTGAAAGGAATACATAGATGAATCAAATGATTGCTTTCTTTGAACGCGTAAGAATGAAGTAAAATCATTAAAGAAAAGCAAAACTGAAGCTTTAAAACCAATCAGAAAGATGCAATCATTTCAGAAAACCATTAAGAAAAACAGTGAGATAAGAAGCTTTTGAGATCTCCTTCACAAATGCTCCCCACTCATCAATAGAAGGCATTCCAAAGGATATCAGAATACAAATAAATCGTTCCCAAAGCTGCAAAGAGATAAGAGCAGAGAAAAAAGCCTTCCCATATAACCGAAGGCGAAGGAAAAAAAAAAACCTATGCCAATAAGAGAACCAGTTTCGAAGATGACCTTACAGAGTAAAAGCCCTCACCTGGAAGCTGGCGTATTAACGCATTCCACCAAATCTGATGCAGAGGAAAGAACGCAGCAGAGAGAGATAGAAAAAGATGCAATTTTTATGACTTTGGAAGCAGAAAGCAAACGATTTGATGGCCCAAGCAATGATCTTTGAATAAGTTTTGAAGACCGACCAGAGAACCTTGCCAAATAAAGGCTTGGATTTCAACAAGTGAAGGATTTCATTTCATTGGAACTGTGAAATGAACACAAGCAGAGAGAGAGAGAGAGAGAGAGAGAGAGAGAGAGAGCAAAGAAGGAGCGGGGGACAAGGAATACAGTGTGTGTGAAAATTTTCCCTTGTTGGTTTGCCAAGAAATGCGTGCATATAAAAGAAATAGCTAAAAATTTGAATATCACGATAGAAATCCTAAACAGGGTCGATTACGACAATATCATGTTAAGAAACGTGAAATTAATGGGCTCAGTAAGTAAAAGGAAAGGAGCAGAACATAAGATCCGGCAATCAGACGGCTGTCATGAAGGGACAACTAGGCTCCTCAACTTCATCTTGTACCGCTTTTAAAATTAATGTGAGAAGCAGCTCATTTACTCTCTTTTTTATTTGATTGTTTTTAAAATTGGAAGATTTACGTACATGCCACTCAATTCTTATATATTTATGTATTTATCGCTTAAATTTTATTTTTACATGGATACCTCTTTACCTTTGTAAGAAATGGTATATTTCACATTTTAAAAGATAAAAAGATGGTATTTACATGTGATATGAAAATATTGGGTAATGTAAATATAAAAAGCTAAATTTAGGTGTTAGAAATGCAAATGCATAGGAAATGGGTGATGTGCATGTAAATGCCTCTTTAAAATTTAGACATTTAGATATGTTATGCATGTTTCTAAGCAAAAAAAATAGTTTTAAAAATATTCATGATATCTTCAAAATCTTTATATTGATTAATTCACTTTAAATGACTTGTACTAATAATAAATGAATAAATATGCATGATATTTATGTTCTTGAAGAAACAAATCTATAAGTTTAAGTTGAATGAAGATACATCATTTAGTACTCCATTTAGTACACCCAAAAATAATACGCATGAATCTCGATACAATCTAACGATTCAAATCACAGACAAAAAGCTAGAAGTCCTCATGAAGACGATCGGCTAAAGACCACCAGCCCACTAAAGGGCTACCAACTGAGCAAAATTTAGATGACCAAAGGATCACCTAGCTCGATTAGGGACAGACATCCATGCCAACAACGAGTCAAAGCTTAACACCCACAACAATCCAACAAGTATTAAAAGTGAAGCTCTCTCAACGGCTCCACCAAAGATCTCCAATGATCACTAGGAAACAATAATCAGGCAAGCCAACTGGCAGCCACACTCAAAACCAACCGCCCGATCGATGTCCAGACAAAATAACCAATTGAAATCATCCTATCGAGAAAAAGGTTCAGACACGCTAAAAGAAAAATAATATATCAAAATGGTATCAAATAGACAGTAGCACCCAAATTAAAGCAGGGGAAAACATGTAATTTTACACTTTGTCACTATAACTTCTATAAATAGGGGGACCATAACATACATTAAGAGATTTTGGCTCTTCTATCTAGACTCGCCTTCTGTGAGAGTATTGACGAAAGTTTGAAGGGGGTCAGGATAAAGTAATAGGGAGACGTTATGTTTTTTTTTTTTTTATATGTTGTGAAAGGGAAAAGGTCTAGTGGCTAGTTAATTTTGGGAACAGTGATTGCATTTTATCAAGCTTTTATTTTATAAACTCTTAAATTTTTTTTGGATTTGATGAATGAAGATACATTTTTTTGTTTAATATCATGAATAGCACTTAGATTTTAATCTAGGAAACTAGATATTAACCATGTTATGTGATTGATTTAATCTTGTGGAATGGTGATGTTTTAACTTTTAGAGCTTTATTTTAAATCTGATTAGTTGTTCTGTAAAAGATTAGTGTGATTTATGATTTTTAGAAGAAAACTTAGTGAAATAACTAAGTTAAAACACAATGCCTTAGAAGAATAGGAATATTAATGTTGTGATAGTGCAATCATGAAGAGACGCAAAATCTTAGGAATTTTTGCAAGTTTTAGAAAACTAAACTTTGATATAAAATCTCAAGCCTTCTTATGACCATGGAAAAGGCTAAGAAGAAAATCTGCTTCTAATTATGACTAATAAATGATATCACTTAGTTAAATCTTTGTTTCTTAATCCAGTTCAGGGGAGAATCTTTCACTTAATAAAAACCCCACTTTCTCTATTTAGGATTCTATTTTTTTAGCAAAATAAAAGATTAGTCACTTTAAACTATCAAAATTTTAATTGTTCAAACCAGACTTAGAACTAGTAAAATAGAATATTCACTTGTTATGGAAAATTAATAAGTTCCCTTAGGGATCGATACATTGACTCGAGAAAGCAAATTTTTTGAGTGGCAAGTATACTTTTGTGGTAGAGACGTGCTTCACAGCATTGCAACACCAATAAGAATTATATAAAATGAACACTATGATGGAAGCTACATGTGCCTAAGATTTTGGAGTTATCTATACAAGATCACTTAAGAAATAATTGATTTTTCTTCTTTAATGTGACGAGTCAGAGAGCCTAAGAAGTTTAGTAACTTTTTAGTATGGATGATATGCTTAAGCTCTTTCATCAATTTCATGAATTAATATTATTGACAATGACAAATGATAAGGTTAAACGGTGTTAGTGTTGGTGTTTTTGAAACATATCAACTTGATAAATGCAAACATGTATCAATGGTATTCATTAGTTCAATAAGCAACAACATGCATCAATAATGTGCATTAAGCTCAGAGGAGATGGCGAGCAACATAGATATGGTTAAGCCTTATAAGTGATGGTGTTGGAAGTCATTAATTTTAGTATCGACGAGAGACAAGGCCAGTGAATAATGAGGTTGGAATGACTCAGTAGACTATGTTAAGTGATGGATGTTAACAAATCATAGTTAGATGATAATGGTTAGAAGACCAAACGATGGAGGTCATAAATGAGAAAATATGATCAAGAAACTATCATTGTGCAATATACGTTAAGTTGCTATAATTAAGCTACCACAATTGGGTAATGAATATCAGAGGACTACAATATTACACTATGGAGCTGTAGATAGGAGATTATTGTCAAGAGACTATAGTTGGGCATCATAAATTGGGTAGTTATAGTTGCGAGACAGAAGCCATTGGATAATAGTCTGGTGATAGAGATCAAATATTTGTAGTTAAGTGATCAACAAATTGTAGTCGTCTAATAATGATAGATGAGCGATGGTGGTTTGATGATGATGGATGGGAAATAATGGTTGAATGACAATTTTCATTTAGTGACAATCTGATAATAATGGTCATATGAAGGTGGTTTGATAATAACTTATAAGCATTGAAAATCTGACAATGGTAATCAAATGGGTATAATCTGATGGTAGTGAATGAGCGACATAATTATGATGAAAGTGGTTGTGTGATGGGGACTTGTCATCCATGATCCAATAATGGTGGATGGGCAGTAATGATCCAATCATGACGGTTGAATGACGACATCTTGATGATAATGGTCAAATATTATAACATGGTGATGATAGGTTGATAGTGGAAGTGGCAATTCGACGATGGTGGATGGGCGGTGACAATCTAACGACACTAAAAGTCCATGAATTGTGAGATGTGGGTCAATCTAACAACATCAATGATTGGGTAGCAACAATTTGATGGTTGTGGATCACTAGCTACAATCTGTTGATTGTTGTAGAATGGAGACTGATTTGTAATTGTTGTCCAATGGTGTTGGCTAGGCGGAGGTTCAACAATTGCCCAACGATGGCAACAACTGTTTTGGGTGACAACTTTAAATCTAGTGGAGGAAAAGATTTGGCAAAGATGAATCAATTATGGAGTTTAGGGGGCGACGATGCAATGACGATATTTGGATGGTGATAAACATACAATGGTGTGGTCCAAAAACGTAACATAGGTGGAGTCAATGACATCAGTTCAACGACAACAATCAATGTCTCAAACTTGTTGGCTAGGTGGTATGGCAATAATAATCAATCTGATGAAGGTAGCAACCTAATGATGCTGGCTAAGTGGAAACTTTGTCGGTGGTTGGATGGTGACTACCACATGACGATGGTAAGATGAATTATATCGATCTTATAGACTTCTTAGCTCTCACCAACATTTACTCTCCATCCATCATGCACTTTTCAAGTGGAGGGTGAGGGCCTATTATAGATTTTGGGATTGACATCTTTTACTAAAAAAAATCACTAAATTTTGAAAGACTATTATGTGATTAAGAATATTTCAATTAATCGTATGATTATATTTATATATTTGAGTGTCTTAATGATATCAAAATTAAGAGATTGTAAGCTTATTAACTTGTCTTTTTTGAATGATCTATTTGACTATAGCCTTATAAAATTTGGAGTTCATTTAATACTTCAATCAACGTCTCAAAGTTTCTTAATATGTTTCACATGCTTGATTTAAGCTCGAGCTCGAATTGCACCACATTTGGTGTAGTTTAGCTCATCTTGCCGAGACAATCATTCTGTTGATAAATTTGTTGAACTCAAGTTTGGATGATTATTGATTTGATGAAAAATCTTCCAATCCAAAAAGTACATGGAGACCCATACCTAATCAATAGTAATTTTTGTGGTATATTAATTCTCTTTTTCGTAACTAGTATTTCCACATGCATCATATTAAACTTAATTTGATTAGATTCATCAAAAAAGGTTCATAAAAACTAATTCTTTGATTAATTACGTTCAACGAATTCAAAGCACCTGTAAGTTATAGAAATAATTTCAAATCAGTTATATATATATAATATATGGAAAGTGTTTTTCTTTTCAATTTTCTTAAACCTTGCTAATTTCTCACAATGCTGAATGATTCGATGAGTTTTATTACTGTAAACTTGCCTTGCTGCAGAAAATAAAATAATGTCAGACCACTCAGTAGTCCGAGGCCCAGCCCAAGACAGGCGACCTTTCAATTGTACCCGTGGAACGAGTTACGCTATAGCAATTCTTCTGGTTTCATATAATCCATTCTCTATTTTTGTTTACCTTTGGTTAATCACTCCTATTTCCTTAATTTCTTATCATTATGTAATCACTTTTATTTCATAAAACCCTGTATGGGCAAAGCACTGGTTTAATTGCAGGTCTTTATAGCTCCATTTATAAATTATTTCAATTTAGGCCCCGTTTGGGACAGCTTAAATGTGCGGCGGCGTTTTTGAAAACG